CCCCTCTAGTTTCCCTTGCAGTTATAAAGAATTTTCACACTTGTTCTGATTATTGAAAGTTCTTGAACAGTAAAATGGCCCTAAGGGCATATCTTTAAAACATGAAAACATATATGCCAAGCGTAATGTTGATAATTTGGAGGGTTTTTTGTAAGCCAAAAATATCATGACCTACCTCCATATTATATGTGACAGCCTTAGGTTGCTGTAATTGGATGCTTCACGTACATGGTTCACATTAACATTCATGTTGGTGTCCTTGTTAGAAGCCCTTCGTAACTTACAGACATGATGAAACTGAAACAGGGCCAACAATGCAGCCCAGCTGAGAGCTGCAAAACAGTTTTTCTTGTTACTGTCCATTTTCCTTGTTTTTGAAAGGATTCTTTTGTTACAAACTTCAGGATTGCAATATTTTAATTGAAAGTAGCAGATTGATTGCATTTGCTTGGGATTTACAGAGACTCTTAATTCAAAGAATCAAAACAATAGCATCTTTATATATATATTCTGTTTTAGGTAGCACTGTTCTCCAAAACATGTGAAATTAAAAATTTTGTACTGGACCACTGGGTGCCATTAAGCAATTCTTACCATGGGGAAATGTTTAATTGCCTGAGCTTCAATTGTTTTTCTTTTTTTGCAATTGCTCCACTGACCATTTCAAAGCCAGGTAATTTTTTGTAAGGTTATGGCAGCTAATGAGTCTTCGCGGTTGCTTGGATGGAGAAGGAAAAGGTTTCTGTACAAAGGCTTATTGTTAATCAAGTAATACCTCCATCTACAACAGAATGCAAGTTCTGTTCAATGAAAAGGAAGGTAACATTTGAATGCTGTATATTTTTCTTTTTCTTTTTCTTTTGCTGGTAAACATAAAGGTGTGCAAGAGAGTAAATATGCAGTAATAACATGTAAAATAAACTAACTGGCTAACTATCTAACTACTCTGACCAGCTAGACTATGAAATATTGAATCCTCCTGTAATAAGGTTCTCACTGTGCTGGGAAGGTCATCAGCTTGGGGTGTTCCATTGAATCTCATTCGAAGACCCCATCCTGCCAGTTCATGTGCAGACATGTTTGATTCTCTGTACGTGTGTGTGGTTCATACCTTCATACTCCAGTTTGGGTGTTGCTCCAGCATGGTTTTGATGTCGTTGACTATTTGTAAAATTGACCAAGTTGGTTTTTATGTGATTTAACATCACTGTGTGCACTACCATTTGAGAATCACTTTCTATTACAACATAGCTCCAGTCCTCTTGATCAGCTCATGGAGCTGCTAGCCTAGCTGCTAGGCCTTCTGCAATCAGTGGATCTATTTCATTGATGATTTTTAGCTTTGCTTCAATTACTGTCCCATCATCCCTTCTGGCTATCGCTGCAATGCATGAATTTGGTTCTTGAACTGCTGCATCAACATTGATCTTTATGGCACCTTGCTCTGAAAGGATCCACCTGTGCGCTTTTACTTGCTTGCTGACATCCCTGGTAGATTTAGATGTAGTTTTCACTGAACTGTGTTCTTCATAGGCAGAGGTTATCTTCTGTGATATCTGTTGCACCTTAATTTGTTCTCCCTGGTAAAGGATTGTGCCATCTCCATATTGCATCGCTGTATCCATAATGTGTCTCTATGTTGCAGGATCAGGTGCGTGTCCTAGATATGATTCGGAATGATCCAGAACTAGCAAGTTTAACGTTAATCCAGGCACCCCTGGTTGATGTAGAGATAAGGAGTGTTCCTGCTCTTAAGTTCATGGGGGATATTGTTTGGAGATGAAGCTTCAGGTTCTGGAGCTACAGTATTAGGTAACTTATTATTTCCCACAAAAGCTGCTTTTCCTATACTAGAGCTCTCTAATTTTATAGTTATGTAATCCTAGTTTCTGATTTGTTACTATTTTCTTGCCACTAATTTGAAATTTGGCGTGTAAACAGTTGAGTGCTGTGAATTTAAAGCTTCCTAAACACGATGCAATTTCACACGCTGCCATGTTTTTTTGTTTTTAATTTGATGCTGACGTGCCTTTTCCTTAAAGTCTATTTCAGAAACTCCAAATTTGAAAGAGAAGCTGAGTGCAGGCCAGAGGCCCCTGATTTTGGTGTAAGGGTGTCTGCCAATCTGTGAGAGAGAGAGAGACACCATGGATTGTACAGAATGAGGTTTTTTGACCAAGGAAACTAGTTGCTAGACTGAGGGTGCTTCAGGAATGGGTGGCATCTTCTTTAATGGTGAAGACTACCCAATTTTCACATAAGTTGCTCAAAATTCTTTTGAAAATTCAATTAATGAAGTGTAAACATGGCACAAAGTCAAAATGCTTGGACTCATTGTGCTAGATTTGCTAGTCGGAAATGACTGTGCTTGTTCTTTCTGCATTGGAACCGCTTTTCGCTCACTTTCTTCTTCCTAAACCTAAATGCATTATTGCCCCAGCATAGCGGTGCAACTTGGACCAGCCAATCCAAAATCAACTCAAGCTTAATTCGAAAAAAATAGGATTTGGTTAGAATTTATAATATTTGAGTTGAGTCTGGACAAAAAAACTTAAACCCAAATTAAATTTGGACAAGTCTCGAGTTGAGGCCTCGGATTGTCGGGTTCCATCCCGAATATTAAAATCGGGTTGAACTCGAATATATATATATATATATATATATATATATATATAGCATTAGTATTTTTCTCCACTATTTAGGGTCTAGACTTTCGCTTCTTTTCAAATTTTCACACTTACTTCTCCATCACTCTCAAATCCCTTTCTCACTTGTCACTCCTCTCTCTCAGCCTTCCTCACTCAATCATCACTCGTCTGAGTCATCTTAGACTCTTAGCTTTCCTCTTTCATTTGTCACTCCTCCCTTTCTCACTCCCTCTCTCTTCATCTGTGTCTCACTTAAAAAAATTAGATTTACTCTTGAAAAAATCAAATATACACTTCAAAAAATTAACCCGAATTAAGTAATTTAAGCCCAAACCAATTTTTAAACCAAAACCAGCCCAAATTAAGTAACCTGAATTCAACCCAAGCCCGCTTAAATTAAACTTGAACAGTATTCGGATTGAGATAGGATTAGGGTTGAATATTATATACATAAAGTTGGATTATGATTGACCTCTCAACCCGCCTAAGTTGCACCCTTACCGCAGCACGGTTATAGTTCATATATGGTGTGTATAGTTAATCTTGTGCAGATGATTATGCTAGATATCTTTTGTCTACAACTTAGAATTTTAGTTAAAAAGTAGAGGTAGGGTATCGAAAAAGTAATTTTTAGTACCGTAATTGGAACTCTTTCTTCTTTTCAAAACTGCTGCAAAGGAAGATCTCTCTGTTCAAATATTAATGAAATAGTTAGATGTGGATGCTCATTCCAAAGGAACAGCTATTAAGCTATGGAGTTTAGACATAAACAGTCTCCTATAATCAAAAATAAGATTTTTGTTGTTTATGTTGAAATGATGTGACTTTTAAGTGCATCTCAAAATTGCCGAAAAAGAGATTTAAAATCTCGACTCCAAAGAATAAACAAGTTGGCCGGGAGTCTATTCTATAAAACTCAGGGTCTTAAGCTCCAGTCTTCTCATGGGATACACTGTAAAGCGAGACACTCTGCATGGTGCTCAGGAAGATCAACTGTTGAATTTTTGCTTTTCCACATTGTCTTGCACCCCCCAACTCCCAAATAACAATGTTATAAAGAAATGGTGATAAACCTGCAAAGACAAAAAAAAAAAAAAATATAGGCCCACGAACCCATGGGTTGGGTTGGCCCACAGGACCTGCTCTAAAAACCGTCTAAAATTTAATAAGTCGAATAATTAGCCCGTACAAACTTTAACTCAATATCTTTTAAAAGAAGGTTTGTGCTTGTCTCCAAACTCTTTACCTAGCCTAAAATCCTGCCTATTAACCCACCTGCAAAATCTCGTTCATCCAGCCCACGCTACCCGCTCGTCCACCCACTTTATTTAACAAAAAAACTGACCATTGAATGGCATATTTCGCTCAAAAAAAAATAATTAAATTTGCTTAAATACTAAATTCAGTAATCTAGAGTATTTTTCATTATTTATTATTTACTTAAATACTAAATATTCCTGTCAAATAAAATTATTTATTATTTATTTTTTGTTCATTTTTACTCTATTTTTAATTCAAATATATAATTTATAAACATGCTTAGTTGAAAATTTTTTAAATGAAATGTATAAATCTATATCATACTATTAATAAAAGTACTTTAGTATGAAAAACTTTTGATTTACTATTTTGCTCTTATAAAAAATATAAAGGCTAACATGTCTTTTTGTATTTAAATATCATTACATCCCTATATATTTAAATAACAAACTAATCACTAACAAATTATACAAATATCTCTATCTTTGCAAAACTTTTGAATGGACGATTTAGGGTATTGGAGATGATATTGTATCAATCGAGTTATTCTTTTAGAAAAAAAGAATAATATATATATATATATATATATATATATAGTTTTTCTCTTCATTCATAATCAAAATAAATTTAGTCGAAAACTATTGAGACACAAAGTGAAAAATAATCGAGAAAAGAAAATCCTATAACCCCCTACTACTTAGTAGCTCAAATAAAAAAATCACAAAAATGAGTGTATTAGATGTTTATAGTTATGAAATAAATACAAACAATTTAAAGTATGATAAATATGAGATAATACCTAATTTGACAATTATTATATTTTTTTATTGTTTTATCAAATATTTCAATTAAAAAAATTAACTTGCACCGCACGTAGTTTATTGCTATTATACATAAAAACTCGGCCGGCAAGTGACAAGTTGGGTTACGAGTTGTCTATCCCTACCCAAAGTTTAGATGGGCTCGGACGATAATTCACTTGAGTAAGGATTTAGGTTAATCCTACTCGGGCTATCTTGAAAAATTTTTTACAGGTCTAACCCGACCCGGCCATTTTTTGATTATAAAATGTAGGATCTTACGTATACATTCCGATGAAGTTCCTGAGACAATTCACCACTTACAGAGAAATTAATATAGGACAACAAAACGATCAGACAAAAGAACTACCTTAATCATGTAAAGGGTCTCATAGTCCGAGACCCCTACACAGTTCTATGAATCAGGTTGTGATTTACAGAATTCTTCAGCAACGGTTCCAAAGAGGCACCAACCTTTGCAGAGTCTTCTAATGCTTGGGCAAAATTCTTCAAAAATTTCAGTCTCTAAAGTTGTGTGCTTCCATGGTTATACGAAAGGGCAGGGAGAAGAGAATCACAAGCAGGACTATTTCTTCTTGAATGTTACCAAGCAGAAGAATGCGACACCACGGCTAACTAAACCAGTAAGCAACATGTATACTAAACAAGGAATAAAATGTCGGACCTGAAAACCTTTTTTTTGTAGTGAACCACATCTTTGAATCAACCACACTCCAGAATACCTGAAAGTACAACAAAAATGCAGTGTTGAATCATAAATTAATGCAGAGTTGAATCAGAAATTATGACACGGCCCAACAGTGGGAAAACCATGGTGAGACCTGTTAGATTTTGGTTGGGTCGTCGACCTGAACCGGGTCACCCATGGTTGGTCGACCCAAATTAAAAAATGCTCAAAGGCCAAAGAGGCATATCGTTTGGAGGTGTCCTTTATCACCCAAAAATAAATGTCTGTTAATATTTAACAATCATGTCTCTATAAGATGTGTCTGTTGAAGACATCCATTAGTTACCTATATAAACTTAAGGCAAATCTAATAGAAAAAATCTCTCAGATAATTAATCTGACATACAAACTCTCCTACTATTTTTGTCTCTTTCCCAATATAACGTTGAAAGACTTTTATATTGTGGTGGAAATACGGTGTTGAGTTGTCTTGTATAATAATACCATACTCCTTGAGTAATCAAAGAAAAAATAATTTTTCAGATTCTAAAGTATGTAGAACATCCTTAAAAAATTTCAGAATTAAAGCAAAAATGGTATGCCTTTAATCTTACGCTTCGGCAATATGTTATACGATTCCCAACAAGACCAATGCTTTGCGCCCAACATTTCTAATGCAACATGTTGGGATATCAAATGTGTGGCAATTATCTCTGTGTGAAACTCAAGGCATCAATTGTGACTAATGAATGAGATCCTAAGCAGTTTAAGATGCAGGGGAAAAAGTTCAACAACTCCCTGTGCTAAAAAATAAAGAAATTTCAACAAAGCACATTAACAACTGACATACTCTGCCAATCCTTACAGTACTAAACATAGGCTTCCCCCCTTCTCTTCTTTTACCGAATGCAAAAGGAAACAGTATTCTCGCTCTGGCTCTTGTTCAGATTCATTTTGGTGCCTTAGATGTTGGAGAAGGTTGTTGTCCAGCTATTGTGAATTTGTAATTTTTTTTAAATACTTCATGGTTTGGCTTGATATAATTCAGTGCATTGCAATTATTATCTCCATGCTTTGGTGAAATTCGTCACTAGTGTCAGAAACAAGACACTAGCCTGTGATGAATTACAACTTATTTAAGTCTATATCTGTGTAATTTTCACTCATATTAACCTGTTAAGCAACGGTCCAGGGGCCATTATAGATGTACTTATGAACTAAGCTGTTACTTGCATTCATAAAAACACCTACACACGTCAATTAACTCCATATGAAGAAAGGGTGATCATGTCAAACCTTTCCGCATTTGTTATCACAAATGCTTCCATAGCCCACTTAGTATAGCAAAAGTTTCCTATTGTTCCCAAAAACCCTCCTTCTGCTGTATCCTGGTTTGCAACGAGAGTCAGAACCACGGGAAGCAACACTGACCACTGCATAAAACAAAAGTAGCTTGCAACCATAAGAGAGAGACTATTTCAATGTAATAAACTATTGAATTATTTCGTGCAAACTCTGTTAAAAACGCACCAGTTGGGCTTGGCCAGGTTCAAGGTAGATGGCAAGTGCATAAGCTATGCCAGTCACACAATACACCAAACAAACTAATACGAGATAATTATCCCAGAAGGAAGATCTTGGGTTGTTGAAGAAATAAAACATCGACAGGTAAACAACCGGCTTTACAATTGTACTGAAATGGTCAATTGTATTCTTTGACAGAAAGTAAGCCAGGCTGCTAATGCCAGAAGCACTCTCTCTCCAATAGTGTAACTTATCCAGAGAAAATGATCTCAAAGCCGCAATTTTGCTGAGAAGAGCTGAAAGTCAGCAATAAATGTTTGGGAAGATGAGAAAGAATACATAAAAGAGATTTTCAGGAGAAATAGACAACAATTACATACTGACTGCATGAAAATTTATTCATGTTATTCCTTGCTTGATAGGTCACATACTACATGCTAAAGAAATAAATACCCATTAAATCATAACTTATCCCGAATAATTAATCGATAGACATTTGATCGAAGAAGAAACCATGGAAGAAGAGAAAAACACTCTTTTCACAGATTGCCCTTGGTGTATTTTTAGAATTACAAACTACACATGTTCTACTAATTTTCTTTCACTATAGCCTTTTGGGTTCTTATTGAGAACTTACGGGTGAAATTTTAGTGGGACAGATAAAAAGAAAGGGGACAATTACACTGATAGAGATACTCTCACAGTTTCCACAATTATTACAACACCTCTTGTCAGAGAATGTGGCATGCAGTTGTTAATCGAGCTTTGGTTTAAAATTCTAACCCCAATGATTAAAAATATGCTTGCCTTTAGAATGTTAAATCTTTGCTACCAAACACATAAAAAATGTTGCCAAATTACACTATATTGATGACAAAATAAACCTAAAATTCTCCCCCGTCTCTTTTTCCACCACCCCAAACAAAAATAAATACTATATAATTAGAATGTGAAATTAAAGCATTTTTGGGAATACCAAAAATGGAAATTTTGGCAATACCAAAAATGGAAATTTTGGCATTTCATTATCTGTGTGCATGTGTGTGTGTGTTTGAGAGAGAGAAACAGAGGAGATTACATGGTGGCAGCTGGGGTTATAGTAAATTTGGAAGCAACTCGGTTAGAGGGTGATCGTGAGGTGGGCACTGAAGGTGGGTTCACTAGAGGCAGTGCTAGTTGTCTTAATAGTGTTATTGCATTGAGTCAGATAACCCTTAGGCATTGTCTCATCAAGTAAGCTCAGGCATATCATGGAACTGTTGATTTATTACTGTCGTTTGTAGGTACTGGATTTCCTCCTCATAGATGTAATCCTACCAGTTGGGTAGAAGTATTTTTGCATATAATATTAATATGTTTAGCTTACCCAAACAAAACTTTGTGACCTCAAACATTGATTGACAGAGTTCCCAAACCAAAATCAGAGGGGTGTGGTCATAAACAACAGAGGAACCTTGCCATTGTTAGATCCCAGAGGGGGTGTCAGTGTAAAATTCCTAGAAAGGCACTACTTTCAAAACATTCTCAGGATGCACACACTGATGAATGAAATACCAATCATACATTCCATACCTAATAGCAACAATAGACAAATTAAATACACAAGGAGCATGATAGAGCAAAGAATAACAAGGTTTCAAACTTACAAACTGCAATTACGGTGTACATATATCCTGACGCCCCGAAGGTTTCGTCACTCACTTTAGCAAGTGTTCCTAAGCAGATTCCAGCTATCAGTAAAATCAGAAAATCTACTGCTTGTATTCTCGCTTCTCGTAGCCGCTGCTTACCAACTCTGAACAAAATCCAGTTATAACATACAAGTCAAATGTCAGTTATTAAAAAGAAGAGTAAATTACATTCACCTCCCCTGAGGTTTAGTCAAGTAACAATTACAACCCCTCTTGTTAGGAAAATAACACTTCGTTTTGTTTTGATTGTCTGTAACGGATTCCCCAACCGTTAGTTTGTTGTTAGAAAAATGTTAAATAATTGCTGATCTAGGAACCTATTTCTTAAAAGAGTAATGCACTTAAAAATTAGACTTGATAATCTCAATCATTGAATAGGTAGTGGGTCCAATAAATGTTAGAACTTACGGTGAAATCAATGATTGAGATTATCAGTCTAATTTTTAAGTTTACTTTTTAAGTTCATGTAACATTGTTCTTCTTAAAATGTTAATATTGCCCTTATTCAAGTTATAGCCAATCTAAACTTGTTGCCAAACAATCCATATCCCTATTACAAGCAGCCTGAAATTAGTAGCCAAACAAACATTTGATTTATACTCTCCCATGGACCTTCCTCCATCGCCAGTCACTTTTACTTTTGCTCTCCCATGCCCTTCTCCATTACTAGTCACCAGGGCCCTCTCTCGTACGCGCGCGTCCTTTTGGATTGAATCTACCATAGCCAACACACAATGCAACAACCTATTCCATATGGATCGAGCAGATCATCATCGACATCGAATTTGAATATATGATGGTGGTGTGATGGTGGGTGTGCGTGCACCTTCCCCTTTCCGTCTGTGTGCGCCCTACAGTGTGCGAAGGTTGTGGTGCTTCTAGTGATTGGTGGATTGGATACTGCATTGTGGTGCTTGTGTATTGTGTTTTTGGGTCAGTGCTCGTGCGGAGAAAATATTCGTTGTAACGAGAGATAACAATGCTGACGTGCTAATTATTAATATTAAAATAAATAAATAAATGAGCATTATTAAAATTAATAACCAATCCTTTATGTAAATAAATAATTACTTTCTCTTCTTTTATATAAACAAACTAGTTATTACATGTGTCCAAAGACACTATACAATAAACAAAAAAATCTTAAACAATTGTCCAAATTTAAAAATAATGACATAAAAATATTCATACTAATTCTTTTTTTAAAATGACTTTAAATATATCGTTGATCATATCCTCTATATTAATGGAACTATCATAAAAATATATAAAAATTTTCCAAAATAACGCCATATATATAAATGCATTTGAAAAAAAATAAATACTAACATAACCCGTTGAAATTTATAATCTTTAAACAATAATAAAATCTTGTTCATTTATAACACTCATAAATTTATCACCATTATTACCATTTAACCCCAAAATAACATAATATAATCATAAGTTTATTCACCAAATTTTTAATTCTCCACAGATAATTATATACAGAAACACACCCATACACATTTCTTTTTTGGTTACCAACAAACTCTCCTAACCAATAACTGTTTTTATTAAAAATACAATAATTCAAGTTTGTAAGATAAAATAATAATAAATTAATATTTAATTAAAAAATAGCATAGCCTAAGTTTTGACAATATGACACGGATATCTCCTGATATTTTATAAATAACACGGAGACCCTTGATGTTTAAAATACATTCCACAGAGACCCCCTCTGTCTCCCTTCTGTCAATGTTGCTAACGAAAATTAAAAATTTCTTCTCAAAAAACTTTATTATTTTTACAATTGCTTTTCTCCAAGTCAATACCAAAAAAAATTTAAAATTTTAATAAAATCAAATAAAATTTGATTTAGTACCCAAAAAATTGATATAATTTAGTACTCCAAAAAATTAATTAAATAAATTTTAATATTAATTTGATAACAATAAAAATTAATTTGATATTAATTCGACAAAATTGAATATAAATTAGACAAAATTAAATGTCATTTTTTGATAAAATTATATATAAATTTACAATCTAAAGTTCATTTCGTGTTAAATATTATTTAGTGTTTATAGTCAATATGCCATTTTTTGATTTACATTAAGTGTTATTTACAAATTAAGAAACAATTGATAAAATATACGTTGACAGATATATAAAAAATTTTAATTAGTTTCATGGAATAAATAATCGCATAATATGTAGTTTTATCAGTTTTATGGAGTAAATAATAACAAAAATAACACTGAGTAAAAAAAAAAGATAATAGTATGAGAGAGAGATGAGAGTCTTAAGACTTGTAAAAGAAATGAAAGTCCAATTAGGACCATCGGATTAAAATAATCTGAGCCACAAAAAGCTCAAAACAAACAATCTAATTACTTTATTATATAGATAATTATTCAAGTGACGTTCACTTTGTCTACGTTATATTTTTTATTATTAATTAATGATATGATATCAACATTTCTATTAACATTATTGATATAACATGACCGTTGCATTCAATATTTACTCAAGATTTTGTACTGCCTTGTTTGACCGTGGTCTGGACGACTCACCAGAGAAGAAGATTACTGATTTAAGGATTTTTTTTAAAACTAAAATGTTCTCAAACACCCATTCAAATCAATATTTAGATGGCATTGTGGAAATTTCACAGTTTATATTAAGGGTATTATAGTTGTTTCCTCATTTTCGTTACAAAAATTCCTAACAAGAAGGGATTGTTATTTGGTCAAACTTCAAGGGAGGTGAATGTAATTTGCCCTAAAAAGAATGCAAACTTTAGGAAAGCAAGTCACAAAACATAATCCAAATAAGGCAAACTTGATGAAAATGAGAAAACCAAAGAGCATCAACTTATTTATTTTCCAGTAGAAATGTGTTTGAATCTCCCACGTTAAATACATACCATGGTTATTGGAAATGGACATTTTATATTTCAATACATGCGAACTATTTCATTCATTCCTTGTTTTCTTTAAAAACGTGTTTTATGGAAGTTATACTCTCTCCCAACCTTCCAGCTGATACCACCACAAATTAACATTTTAAGGATACTACCACAAATTAATTTAGTTCTTCTGCAGTATTTTGTTTTGGGTTTGGTTGGGGGAGGCTGTGACTTGGGTGAAAAGTGTTTGTTATTGTTCTAGAAGAAATGAAACAAAAGCCACAGTAGAGCTAGGACAGATATTGTATAAGGTCTACCCAATACTAGATGCAAAGATGCCTAATAGATCGATATGAACATCAAGTGTTGGCTCATTGGCCACCCAAACAAGGACAGTTAGTCATTTTTTTTGGTCAGGTGGAAGTTTCTGTAGTAGTAAAATGATGTCTGCAAGAAAAACTAGACATATGTGGAGTGGTTACATCTTGAGAAGATCTAGGAAAATGACGGAAAGGAACACTTGTAGTAATTAGAGTAATTACCTTCCTAGGAAATATCTGTATTGCTGGAATACTCCGGCAGTTCTCCGGTTAGATAAGTCCTTGGACTTTAAGAAATTATGTTGTATGTGGTCCTTCTTCAATTCAACATTAGTCTTCACATCCGTCCATAGGTCTCCAGCAAAAGACTGCCCGTCAGACTCAGCAGCACCTGAATTTATTCCTTGAGCTGAATTTCCTCCAATTGAGGATGCTGCCACTCCTGAAGCATCTAGTATGTCTGGTGGTACAGGGTACCCGTTATGCAGCATCCATCTGAGAGGAAGTTCCTTGTAGTTCACACCAGAGCTTGTGGCTGGTTTTACAATTCCCTCAAGAATGTCAATAAAATAATCCGGAGGATTAACACGCTCAGGGACATTGATCCCAAGACCTGCAAAGTATTCTTCAACTTTCTTCACTGATCCATGATATACAGTAATACCCCCCTTAGCTAGAAGTATCAAATCATCAAACATCCTGAAGAGCGTGTAGCTGAAGCAGGAAATTACCCACTACTTAGTCAAGATAATAAGGGTAAAGAACACATTGTGGCTATGAAATTGCACTAAACTTTTTAAGTGCTGAAATTACAAGCTAATATGTGACAATCGACAATAGAAGTAATAATCTATAAACTAAAATGAGAAGTCTAAAAAAATCCATCTATACACAACAATTAGAATTAAATTCTTGTTTATTGAAGTGATCTAAGAAAAGGTTTAAGTGACCTCCTTATAACTGTGACTGGTGCATATTAGAAGTTGATTCTTGATCAATGCTGAAGGCAAGTGAGATTGATTGATGATTAGCTTTGTTACCCCTATGATGCCTACACGATAATAACTGGAACAAACTTAGAGAGATGGATCTGTGAGATTTTCATCGCCACACTCTCTTAATGGGTTCAGGAAAAAAGACTGCTTAGGGTAAAAATTGTAGTGGAAAGTTAATAATGCAAATTCTTGACCAGTGTAGTTGCATTGGGTGTGTGCCAGTCTGGAAAATTAAGTAAGGATATTTGTAATAACATATTCATAACAGTGAAAGATATTCGACAGTAGCCTAATTCAAGCTCCTGTTATAAAAGAAATTTATATAATAGCTGAAAATTAACAAAAAAATATTGAGTGGAGCAATTATGATCGAAGTTGTGAAATGAAACTCCCTTCTACCAAGAGGGTGATAAAAGAAGAAGATTGATGTGAGCTTTATGACAGCTGGAATTGGAAGAATTTCAAAAACAGAAGAAAACATAATCAATCTTCTTTATGTGACTGTTTTGACTGAAATTAGAGTTTCTAATTTTAGGAATTCAGAACAAGAAAATTGTAGAGGGCGAGATGAATGCATGTAGACAATTTTGGATTTTCAAGGCTCTCCTTGCTTCAATTAATTAGTTTTCATTCTGAAAAATCTAAATTTTTGTCTAGCATATCCCATATGAGCGCCAACAAAATGTGCTTAGCTAAAACTGAGTTTTACATTACCAACCAATTGTAACACAAGAAATCAACAACCACCAGCCACACGAAATATGTTTAGCCAATTCTCCTCGCAGACTATATCTTATGTTAAGAGTATTAGGGTAGTATGTATAAATTGTTAATAGTGGTAGGGTAGTATGTGTAATTTTTATTATTGTAAGTTAAGTATAAATACAATGATATATGAGAACTAGGTCAAGCTTTTGACCTCTCTTTGTTCCTCTTCAATATATTGTGTTAATCCTTTACACTTAACATGTATCAGAGCATGGTTTAATCTTAAATATATTTTGGATAAATTAACTTAATCTGTGGTGATGATACTGTTGATCGTAGAAGCTACAGTGGTGGTGGTTGGTGATACATTTGTTGTTGTGGTTGTGTGTTGTTGATCGTTGCTAGTGGTGTACTATTTGTCGTTGTTGGTGGTGGTGTGGCACTGTTGATCATCTATTGTTGTTGATGGTGGTGGTGTAGTTGTGGTGGTCTGTCTGATCATCGTGGTCGCTCGCTATGGTGGCTGAGGCGCAGTCGCTCGCTGGGGTGGTTGAGGCGCAGTCGATCGTTCGCTATAGTGGTTAAGACGCAGTCGAAAATTACCTCGTTGTGGTGGCTGAGGCGCAGTCGTTCGCTGTGGTGGTTGAGACACAGTCAAAAATTAGGGCTACTGAAACCCTAATTGTGAAGAAGACAAGGTCTGGATAAAAAAAAATATATCCAAAGTCTGGTTTAGTTAACCTTAGACCGATTCAAACTGGTTCAGTCAGTGGTGACTCTAGTTCAGCGGTCCAGTAACCTCCTGTGACCTGGTTCAGTTAGGTTTTGCACCGGTTCAGTCATCTTTCACTCCGGTTCATCGGTCTAGTGCACCTATTCTGCCCAGTTCAGCCTTCCAATAGGCTTCTTGGGTCCGGTTCAGCCTTCCAGCAGACTTTTGAGGTCCAGTTCAGCCTTCCAGTAGGCTTTTGGGTCCGGTTCAGTCTTCTAGCAGCCTCAAGTGGTCTGGTTCAGCCCTCCAGCAGGCTTAGCCAGTCCAGTTCTGTCCGTTTTTGTGTTCTAGCATTATAGGACCCCCTGTTTACTATTTGCTGCACTGCTATGGAACCCAAGCAGAATACCAGGTCCCTTACTCTAGCTTTACCACCCACCTCTATCCCTCCAACTATTATCAATGGTCCCATGACCTCCGTTAAACTTAATGGGACCAATTATACTTTATGGTCCTAGTCTGCTCAAGTCTTACTTCGTGGCAAAGAATTTAAGAAATATTTGGTGAATCCTAAATCCGAGGAAACTACTCATGGATATGATCAGTGGGAACAAGAGGATGCTCAGATCATTTCCTTACTGTTGAATAGCATTGAGTCTAGTATTACTTCTACCTTGACACTGCCAAGGAGATATAGGATCACTTGGCCACCATATATTCTGGTACAGGTAATTTTATCCGTGCATATGAGGTATGCAAGGAGTAATTCCGATTGGAGCAGGGTACTTTGAGTCTTGCGAATTATTACTCTCATATTCGGAGAGTCTGTAAGGAGATGAAGATCTACCATCCGTTTACTACTGATGCAGCAGTTTGGCAGAAGCAACATGAGGACCTAAATGTTATTAAATTTTTGGTAGGCTTGAAACCTGAATATGAGGCTATTCGTTCTTAGATTTTGGGTGGTTCTAGTCTTCCATCACTGCTTGAGGTTTTCTCTCGTTTACAGCGTGCTACACTGTCTACTCTTTTAGGCATTGATCATAGTGTCTCCACTGATCACTCAGCTCTTATGGTTCCTAGTAGCCATAGCGATGGTCATCGAGGTGGACGTGGTGGTCGTGGTGGTCGAGGAGGTTGTACGGGAGGTCGTACGGGCGGTCGTGGGAGTCGTAGTGGATTCCGTTCCTGTACTCACTGTGGTTGTGGAGGACACACTGTTGACTCTGTTGGGATTTACATGGTAAATCTTCTGGTGCTGCTAATCAGGTTTCTTATCAGGATGATACTTCTGTTATTGCTTCCATACCTCGGTCAATTCCACCAGGCACTGGATTGGTTACTATTACACTAGGTTGAGAGGAGTATGTCCAGTTCCTGTCCCAGCAACAGGCCAGGCACTGGATTGGTTACTATTACACTAGGTTGAGAGGAGTATGTCCAGTTCCTGTCCCAGCAACAGGCTGTTCCATCTTCCTCCACTACTACTTTTGCTCAGTCAGGTACTGATTCCACTTGTTTATTGTCCTCCACCCGCAATCCTTGGATCATAGACTCTAGCGCTTCTGACCACATGACTGGTGCGTCTAATATTTTTTCTACTTATCAGTCTGCTACTTTTACACGTAGTGTTACTCTTGCTAATGGCACTTATTCTAAAGTTTTAGGTCTGGGGACTACTCACTTGAGTCCTGATATGTCCTTATCATCCATGTTATTTATTCCTCAATTTTTTTTTAGTTTACTTTCTATTAGTAAGATTACCCGTTCTCTCAGTTTCCTATTACTTTGATTTTGATTCACCTACTCGGGCTCTACAGACCTCGTTATCTCCTTTTCAATGGCAGCGTCGTCTTAGACATCCTTCTCTCCAGATTCAGAAGCACCAAGTTCCCAGTCTTAGTTGTGTGTCGTCTTTGTCTTATGAAGTTTGTCGACTTAGTAAGCATCACCATGTGTCATTTCAGTCTAGAGTCAATAATAGTGTGTCTAGTCCATTTGAGTTGGTACATTCTGATGTATGGGATCTAATAAAGAATATTTTATCTAATAAATATCCTTATTTTGTGTCTTTTGTGGATGACTATTCTCGTGTGACTTGGTTATTTTTTATGAAAGCTCGATCTGAATTAATTTTTATATTTGAGACCTTTCGTAAGGAAATAAAAACTCAGTATGGTTGTCGTATACGTATTTTACGTTCTGATAATGCTCAGGAATATTAATATGATCCTTTTTCAACTTATCTTAGTAAAACTGACATTATTCATCAGACTTCCTGTGTTTACACATCTCCACAAAACGGTGTTGCTGAACGCAAGAACCGTCATTTGTTGGAAGTCACTCATACCTTGTTATTCCAGATGAATATTCTCCGTTATTTTTGGAGTGATGTTCTTCTTACCGCTTGTCACCTAATTAATCGTATGTCATTCTCTGTGTTAAATGAGCAAAGTCTATATTCTGTCATTTTTTCTGATAAGCCTTTATTTTTCCTAATTCCTAAGATTTTTTGATGTGTTTATTATGTTCACAATTTGGGTCCTAGGTTTGATAAACTTGATCCTTGAGCTACCAAATGTATATTTCTTGGTTATTCTCGCACACAGAAGGGGTATCGTTGCTACAGTCCTTCTCTGAGACGATACTTTACTAGTGCCGATGTCACATTTGAGGAATCTATTCCATATTTTCCAGCACCTTCTCAGCTTTTGGATTTGAACTTTGGGTCACCTCTTGTACCACCATCTCTTCCTTCATCTTCAAAAATTTCGTTGCCCGTTGTGTTACCGTCTACTTTACCTCTTCGTGTATACTCTCGTCGTCCTCCACCATCGGCTGAGGTGTCCGTACCGTCTTCCTTGGCACTTTCTGATCCTGGCCCATAAGATAATTTCGACTCTTTACCTATTGCTCTTTGAAAGGGTACTCGTTCGTGTGTTACTAATCATCTCATTGCTCATTTTGTTTCATATGATGTCTTATCTCCTGTCTTCTCTTGTTTTACCTCTCAATTATCTACTATATCTATCCTAAGCATTTACAGGCTGCTTTATCTGATCCGGGTTGGAGGAAAGTTATGGAGGATGAGATGGATGTCTTACATCATAATGGGACTTGGGATCTCGTTCCTTTACCCCCTGGTAAACGAACTGTTAGTTGCCGTTGAGTATACACTGTTAAATTTCACCCGGATGGTTCTGTAGAGCGTTTCAAAGCCCGACTTATTGCAAAGGGCTTTACTCAGACCTATGGTGTTGATTATGAGGAGACTTTCTCTCCTGTTGCAAAAATTTCTTCTGTTCGTATCTTGATTTCTTTAGCTACTAATCTTGATTGGCCCTTGTTTCAGTTAGATATCAAGAATGTCTTCCTATATGGTGACTTGGTTGAGGAGGTATACATGGAGCAGCCACCTGGGTTTACTGCTCAGGGGGAATATGGTAAGAGTGTATGTCGGTTAAAAAAATCTTTGTATGGTTTGAAGCAGTCACCGAGGGCATGGTTTGGTAAGTTTTCAGATGCAATTTTAGAGTTTGGTCTGCTTCAATGCCAGACAGACCATTCTGCGTTTCATAGACAGACAGATGCTGGATATGTCCTATTAGTGGTCTATGTAGATGATATTATGATTACTGAAAATGATTTTGAGGGGATTGCCAAGTTAAAAATCTTCTTGCAGGATTGATTTCATACTAAGGATTTAGGAAAACTCAGATATTTCTTGGAAATTGAAGTGGCTCGATCTAAACAGGGTATTTGTTTATCACAGAGGAAATATATACTTGACATGCTAGAGGAAGCAGGTTTGCTGGATGGAAGACAAATTGATGTTCCTATAGATTCGAATCAGAAACTATTGATAGATAATGGTGAATTATTTGAGAATCTGGTTCGGTATCGCAGATTGGTTGGGAAACTCAATTACCTAACTATTACTCAACCAGATATCTCTTATGCAGTCAGTATAGTAAGTCAGTTTATGGGGTGTCGTAGAGTACCACATTGGGAGGCCGTTACTCGTATTCTGCGATATCTCAAATGAGCTCTTGGACTTGGACTGATATATCAAGCTAATGGACATCTTAGAGTGAAAGGTTTCTCAGATATTGATTGGGCTGGCTCTCCTTCTGATCAGAGATCAACCACTGGTTATTGTACTTTCTTAGGAGGTAACGTTGTCTCATGGAAAAGTAAGAAACAATCTGTGGTAGCAAGATCCAGTGCTGAGACTGAGTATAGGGCAATGTCGCATACGACGAGTGAGTTGACTTGGCTGCTACACTTCCTCCAGGAAATTGGATTTCCAGTTCAACTTCCTTTACAGTTGTTCTGTGACAACCAAGCAGCTATTCATATCGCTGTCAATCCAGTGTTTCACGAGAGAACTAAACATATTGAGGTTGATTGTCACTTTATTTGAGACAAAATAGTGGCTGGGGAGATTACAACTCCATTTGTGAAATCTGAAGATCAGCTTGCAAATATGTTTACCAAAGCATTAAGCCGCATTAAGCCGCACACGTCTTACGGCGATTTATTTCAAGCTTGGATTATATGATATATATAGTCCGGCTTGAGGGGGAGTGTTAAAAGTATTAGGGTAGTATGTGTAAATTGTTAATAGTAGTAGGATAGTATGTGTAATTCTTATTATTGTAAGTTAACTATAAATACAATGATATATGAGAACTAGGTCAAGCTTTTGACCTCTCTTTGTTCCTCTTCAATATATTGTGTTAATCCTTTACACTTAACATCTTCTACTAAATCTAAAAATTGCACAGAACATTTGGAAACTTGTTGCAATCTTTCCACAACTAAATTTATATTAAAGAAATAACCATAGCAAGGATAGAGGAGATGCAGCATCCTTGAAACCGAATAGTACAAAGAAAAGGAGATCTAAAAGGGCACAATCCAGAACACCAAAAAAAAAGAGAGAAAAAATTATGGCGGATAAAAGTGTCCTCGAATTTTCTCTAGTTAATCCTTTTTCTCTCATGAAGGAGAAAAAAACCCAAAGTTGGCAATTGATATTAATATTCTACCGTAACGGCACTTCAATTAGGTCTTTAACAAAAACCTATCTGAACATGAGGATGGAATATGCACACAGTGATACTTATGAGCATAAAGCAACTGGCTTTATGGCAGGCAGTATGCTGCGAGCCACTTAATGAGTAACAAGGAAACTGAGGAAGACACAGCAGACTCAAATCAACTCAAAAAGCCCCTATCCAGACAGAGGAAAACAAAATAGGAAAGAAAAGAGGGTGAAAAAATGGCCAACTTTTTCTGAAACTGTAAGATTATAATTGTTAAATATTACCTTGGTTGGTGAACCACCATGCAAATGTTAACTCCTTCAAGAGCTTCACGGCGGAGTGCTCTTAATAGTAATTGAGATGAAGAACTGTCCAAACCAGAAGTGGGCTCATCTAAGATCAATAGAGAAGGTTCCATAACCATTTCCAGCCCAACATTTACTCGCTTCCTCTGGCCACCAGAGATTCCTCGCTTTTCCACTGTTCCAACAAGAGAATCTCTCACAGGCTGCAATCCCAGGGCCTCAATGACTCTTTCTACAACTAGAACCTTGTCTGGTTTTGCCAGATCAGCTGGTAATCTACAAAAAGAAATGCAGAGAAATACAAAGATATTATGATCAAATCACATTTTCCTTCTTTCTTTTTTGTTTTTTTAAATTTGTTGGAAGGGGGAATAACCATGCAAATGCAGAATACTACAGCAGGTGGAACAAGAAACTAAAAGGAGGGAAAAGCAGAAGAAGCAAGACAAACTATACTACTCTCCTTGGCCGTGTGTTTGGGATACATCACTGACATGTAAATGCAAGTTTGACAAGATACACCTATGACGTCACATGGTGCTGGCTTGTTCATCAATTTCCACATTGGCTTATTCTGTTTCTTGTGGTAAGCTTAGAAGGCTTACTATCTTCTTTTAGATATGCATGAGGTAAACTTCCAAGAAAATTCTCACAAACCATAAAAACATGAAAAATTGGCATGCACTTGAAATCCATCAATACCATCATCAAGGTTTCAGCTTGTTAACCCTCTCCCCACACCAAAGAATAAAGGAAGCAGAATCCTTGGAATCAAAAGTAAACTATATGTTGGTATTGATCTTCCAAAATGTACACAAATGCATAGCTAAATGTCAAGTTGTACAGGTCGAGTCATTTTGCCCTTCCCTAAACCTTGAGCTTCAATATTTCAAAGAACTTGGTGTGTGTTAATCTCATTAACAAACTAAACTCTATGTAAGAAAGAGATTGATACATAAAAGAACATGTTGATGACATCTAGCACTCATCACCAAAATTTTCTATATATAATCATTTAGTTGGTACATGGAAATGTGTGATCCTGGAAGAAACATGAAATATTAACGGAAATCACTACCCTTTCACACAAAAGATATGCTTGTTGTGACGGAATTTAATGGCAACTGGCCTGCTTACTGGAACTACAGGTGGCATACCTGCACCTAGCACTGAACCAGAGATTCTCCTCCACTGTTAAGTTTCCATGCACTATATCATCTTGGGGAACAAACCCAATAATTTTCTTGTAAGATTGTATTGATTCAACCTTCCCATTTATAAGAATCGAACCACTCTTGGTGCACCCTGTTGCTTTTCCGGCCAAAGCAGAAAGAAATGTTGTTTTCCCTGCCCCAGATGGACCCATGACAGCAGAAACATGGCCAGGCACAATCTTCCCTGTTACACATCTCAACAGATGCTTATTTTTGCCTTTCAATGTGAGCGTTAAATCTTTAAAAGCAACCTCAATCGGAGGCCTGTTCCTGATTTCCATATCAGCAGCCATGGAAATTACCCCAGAGAAAGTCAAATTCTTGTTCTGCTCTTGCAGAGCTTTTTCCTTCTCAATTTGACCATATGCATACTTGAAAATTTGGCTGCGAGTTTGCAATTGCTTAGCCTTTGGCATATTCTTTTTCAAATTTTTATCTCCAATCTCCAGATTGAAGCCCTCATGATTCTCAGGATCATCTGCAAGCTCACGCACCATTTTTGTAAGGTTGTTTCCTTTTGGCTGAGATGCACTCATAGGCATAGGTGGCAAGGCACCACTCATTCCAGCTTTAGATTGACCCTGCCTCACAGATTTTTTACGAGAGAACGTTCTAGATAACTGGGCCTGCAGCCCACTTGCATGCTTCCGAGCATTATCTTTTGCGGATTTCCATCTTTCACGTGCCTGAGCTGTTTCCCTAGCACTTCTCGCAGCTGCTTCCCTGGATTTTGCTTCTCTTTTCTCTCTAGTACTGAGAACTTGATCGGAACAGTTGTAAATAAAGAGAAGAAGGAGCATTAAACCACCCTAAATCGGCCAATGAAAGGTTAGTATCCTAAGGTTCTACAAGATAAATATTAAATGGATCCTAAGCAGAAATTATGGAAGGCATTGTTGAGATTACGAAATTCCTTCTATGTCACAAAAGAACAAAAAATCATGTGTATAGACTCAATCTGTAAGAGCATCCAAAAGACTTAACAATTTTTCATTGATGATTTTTAGACAAGAAAACACATTCGTATATATGTGTGTGTGTGTGCTCTCGCTTTGTATATATCGTATAGGTGTGTGCATATGCGTATATACAAAGAGAGAGCACTAAAGAATTTAAGTGACTTGAGAGTTTAGATACTTTTGATATTCAATATGTCTGGAATCTATTTCTAATGGTGAAAATAAGGGTCCATGGATGCGAAGATTACCCCTCCTTTACACCTGAAAGATGATTCATCATGCCCGGTTGGGGCAGCACAACTTAAGAAAATAACTTCAGCAACATGATTTTGCATGCTGTGGTTGTTTTTTTATCATATTGCAATTGTTGGTTTATATTTAGCACAAATTAAGAAAAATAAAAGACAATACGCAGCTTACAACAAAAGGCCAGTTGGACCCAGTGATTTTAGGTTACTGAAAAAACATTATTCATAGGATAAATTATTCCACCTGTATAAGAACTTTTGGAAATCTAAGCTGCCTCCTTTACGTGACACAAAGTGTAACAAGACCACTTACAAAAATCAGGATGCCATATGCAGTGATATTCTGGTTTGCAGATTGTGGTTCACAAGTTGCCATCCAAAGGCACCCTACAAGATCATCTGTAATGGTTACATCCTTTCTAAATGACCAATACAAGTAATTAAAACCATAGAAACGTGAACAGTAGATATTGCTGTTACATGCATTGACTATTTGATCAGGCATCCTGCCTACACTCCTCAGGAAAAAACAGCTCCTGTAAGTTGTATTGACATGTTTATTCTGTTGTCGATACACAAAAGAAACAGCAATCCCACCTCTTATTTGGATTGACTATGCACTTCAGAAACAACAAAAATTGCATGGAACATCCTAATTTTGTTAGATACCCAAAGATTAAATGCAGAAAAACCCCTTATCTCATCTGACGATCCAAATGTCAAGGCTATGATGAACTGTCGTCTATGATTTTCAATTTGATCAGATGCTTTTTGCTTAAGTACCTTTGCCTCATTAAGCATGGTGAAAATACATGTCGGACAGAATTTTAGACAATAGCACCCACATTTGAACAGAGTTATGGACATTGGCACCCACATCAAAAATTTCCATTGAGGTCTAAATGTGTGGCTACCATCGGTGCCAAACTGCAATACTCATGTCTGCGTCGTCATTAATTACCTCTTCTATGGTAACATGGTTCATGTGTTGATTTCTCGTAAACAATGCTACAAAAGGAGCATCTGTAATGCCTAATGCAACAAACTCAAAAACTAAAAAGAAACTTACTTTGTTGAGATGTAGAACCAGCTCTGCAGTAATGTCTGAAATAGAAAGTACAATCAATAGTGTAAGTATACAGGGTAACCACCAAAGTGGTTTTCAACATAGTTCATGCACCAAGATGAACATTAAAAAGAAATAATTATTGCCATTGCCAATAATTGCAGCAAGAGAAATATAAGGTACTATAGACAAGTGCTACAAGTTCTGGGATAATAATTAATACCCCCTACTGCAAGGAATTTTTTCGATTGTAGTCGGACAGTATGAACCTGCTGAACAGAATACGTCACCACCACTCAAGAAATCGGCCCAAACATCTGCTCCCCCACAAGTATGGTTTGACTGCCCAGGAGGCAGCTGGTAATGATATCTGTGGATATTTTATTTCTATATTAGGTTAATCATTATTAAATGAAGGAAAAACAATTGCAGAAGAAGACTCCAACTTACGGATCACATACACCAGTAGTTTTATTGAGCTTTGCAAGGGGGCAGTAAGAGCCTAATGGGCAAGCTTCAATGATAAGATGAAGAACAAAATTATTATTAGTTTGCACCATGGCGTAATAGATCTTAAATACCATATAAAATGCAACTTATTAGGAAATTATGAACAAGTAAATATCTCATTTAAAAAATAAAAAGTACATAGAATGGTGTCAAAACTGAATTGGTAGCTCATGCAGTTATCTAACAAGCTTGTTCACAACCAAGAGCTCTAAACTTAAACTATTAGAGAAGGGGCTAAACAATGAATGAAAGGCTCTTGCACCCTCTCTCATGTGCAAATTCCCTGCATGTAAGAGACAAACAAATGGAGATCCTGACAGACAACGGAGCGAGACTTGAGCCTAAAACCTGTCTTATTAAAAGCTTAAGACTATCTTTGATGACTGCTTCCCTAAAAACTATGGAATAAGGAAATGGGTTGAACAATGAATAGAAAGCTGTCTGGACATCTTGAAAACATCTGGAAGCTATTATCTCTGGAGATGAAAAAAGTTTCTCGTCATCTATTGGCAAAAAGCAAATTTCTGGTTACCGAGCAAACCCTTTGAGATTTTAAATCAGATTTCTGCTTAGACAAAGTGGTACAGACCATAGTCTATCTGTAAAAGAATCAGATATCTTGGATGGATGGTTGATAATATGCCTCAGTTAGCTGTTGGACATATGATGGGGAAGTAATCTTCATTGCAAGTGTGCATACCACTAGGGGTGCCTCATCCATTGAAGAATTAAGTTTGTGTTAGAAACATGACAGAATGATACATGAGTTTTTCCGTAATTAGTGACAGAAGCTAACTAAACATGCATTAATACTAGAAAACATATGGCAATAGACTGCATTTAAGACAATGGTCGGGCATCCCTCCTCAAAGTTTCTAGTTGAAAAATTAAATAAATGCAAGTGTGAAAAATTTTCATGAATAATATAGCAAGCTGAACTTTAAGGGACAGATAAGAGACTTAGAAAGTCCCCTATAATTGATGCAAAACCAACTGGAGATTACTGTTTACGTGCTTATTCCATTCATAAAATAATTACAGCTGACTTAAAAGAATTCTTGAACTTAATAAAAAGGGAGCCATTAGGCCCATTACCCAGTTTGGTCTTTTCTAATTAAGGGTGATGCTAAAGTAAGGCATTATCAGCACAAAGTGGTTGTCCTCATGCTTAAACCCACAACACTACAA